TCTCTCTCTCTCTCTCTCTCCCTCCCTCCCTCTCTCTCTCTCTCTCTCTCTCTCTATACATATACACGACTGGTCAAAAGTTTGGGATCAGAATGATTTTTAATGTTTTTTTTAAAGGAGTTTCTTATGCTCATCAAAGCTGCATTTATTTGATCAAAAATACAGGAAAAAAATTTAATATTGTGAAATATTATTATAATGTAAAATTACGTTTGTCTATTTTAATATACATTAAAATCTAATATATTCCTGTGATGCAAAGCTGAATTTTCAGCATCATTACTCCAGTCTTCAGTGTCACATGATCCTTCAGAAATCATTCTAATATGCTGATTTATTATCAGTGCTGGAAACTGTTCTGCTGCTTAATATTTTTTTGGAACCTGTGATACTTTTTTTCAGGATTCTTTGATGAATAAAAAGTTAAAAAGAAGAGCGTTTATTAAAAATAGAAATATTTTCTAACAATATGCACTACAGTTCAAAAGTTTGGGGTCAGTACATTTTTATTCTTCTTTTTTTTTTTTTAAAGAAATTAAAACTTTTATTCAGCAAAGATGTGTTAAATTGATAAGAAGTGATAGCAAAGATTTATATTGTTAGAAAAAGATTTATATTTTGAATAAATGCTGTTCTTTTTAACTTTTTATTCATCAAAGAATCCTGAAAAAAGTATCGTAGTTTCCAAAAAAATATTTGGCAGCACAACTGTTGCCAACATTGATCATTCTAATAATAAATCAGCATATGAAAATGATTTCTGAAGGATCATGTGACATTTTATACTGGAGTAATGGCTGATGGAAATTCAGCTTTGCATCACAGAAATAAATTATATTTTAAAGTATATTAAAATAGAAACCATTATTTTATATTGTAATAACATTTTGCAAGATTACTGTTTTTTTTGTATTTTTGATCAAATAAATGCAGCCTTGATGAGCATAAAAGACTTCTTTAAAAAACATTACAAGTCTTACTGATCCCAAACTTTTGAACGGTAGTGTGTATATATATATATATATAATTATAACATAATTAATTTTATTACAGATAAATCAAATAACATTTTCCAGAATGTAGATTATTGGTTTAGGTTGAAATAGCAAATGAAATGCTTTAAAGATAATCTCAGTTGCCATGATCACATAAAACTTCAAAAAAAAAACTCATTTGTCTTCCACGCTGACCTTTTAATATTTATCCTTTCTGTGAAAAACACCATGTGTGCCAAACACATCTGCACGATCAGTTAATATCTTTGTGTGTGTATAGGTAACTACTGCACCATGTGCTTCAAGTGTTATGAAGATAATGACTATGATAGCCAGATGATGCAGTGCTCCACATGTAACCACTGGGTCCATGCTAAATGTGAAGGCCTCACAGGTGAGTGACAGAATGTGATGGTCAGATGGATTTTATTTATTTATTTATTTATTTTTAAATATTTTATTTTATCATCTTTTTATCTTATTTTATCTATCAAATACAATAGTACATTTTAAAGGGGTCATATGATGCTTTTTTAAAGATCATTATTTTGTGTATTTGGTGTAATAGAATATGTTGACATGCTTTAACGTTCAAATCACACATTATTTTTCAAATACTGTACATTATTGTAGGTCCTCTATGCCCCGCCTCTCTCAAACGCTTCGTTTTCTACAAAGTCCCTCCTTCCGACAAGCGCGGTCTGCTCTGATTGGCCAGCTGACCCAGTGCATTGTGATTGGCCGAACACCGCAAGCACTCGTCGGAAATGTAACGCCCCTTACCATAATCGCGAGCTTCAGCTTTCAAAATAAATGTAAAGACAGAGCCCGAAAGGGGAACAGAGTCACGTGACAGACACAGTGATGAAGCTGGTATGTGTTTGCAGTACACAAGCTACGGTTAAGACAGCTGACTCCACTGTGATGTGACCCTCTCTCTCTCTCTCTCGCTCGCTCGTGCGCTCTCTCTCTCTCTCGCTCGCGCGCTCTCTCTCTCTCGCTCTCTCTCTCTCGCTCGCTCGCGCGTGCTCTCTCGCTCTCTCTCTCTCGCGATTACCGAATTACCTCCTCTCCTAGGTTCACGAAACGGTCGTCCATAAAATGCATTGCTGTTCTGTTGTAAGTCATCTTAAAGATTCCTAAATGCATCTACTTTCGGAAGGCCAAATAAAGTGCTTTTGCTTTCGCCTAGAAACACACAGCGTCTCTCTGACATGGCTGCTTCAACACTAACTGCGGTTACTGAAACCACGCCTTCTTTCTTTGCGTGAACATTTGGGCGGCATTATGCAAATATTTCCACATAGTGAGGTAGATATGTGGGGCGTGTTAGAACGAGCCGTTTTAGGGGGTTGTGGCAGAGTCTTAACTTTGATAAAGAATATCTCTTTGGTTTTGAGACTTCAGTCTTTGCAACTTTGCAACTTATCTATGCACAATCAGCTTGTAACACTCCAAAGAGAAAGGAAAACTTGAAATTGCATCATATGACCCCTTTAACATGCCATTTACATTTATCATGCTCTCTTTTCGGCTTTCATTTCAATGACACTTTTAAACAAAGTAAATGTTTAATAGTCATTTATTGTGCATTATAAGACAATTAAATGCTTTTTTCTTGTTTTTGTATGTGGCTGTAATATGAAAGCATTCCTTTGAATCCACAGAGAAAGCATACATTTAAAAAAAAATTTTTTTCCTTCCACTGTTTTAGTCTTTATTAAACTACTCTGTTCACTGGGTTAACATTTTGCAAGCCTCACATTGCATTTCCCAATACTTAAAATACACTGGAAATTAATCACCGATTGCACATTTTTTCATGCCAAACGTAAGAGAGATTCATGATGCATGATCGCCCCAACCCAGGATGTCATGTTGTTTGTTTATTTAAGCATTCTCCTTATGAAGTTTCTGAAAAAATGTCTGTCATGGATGACTCTTCGATATAACTCAGAAATAATTGAGAAATAATGTGAATTTTCTAACCGTTACAGGCTGAATCAGCAGTAGGAAGTCTACGGCTTGCATTTGACTCCCTAAATTTGTTTTCTCACAGATGACTTGTATGAAATCTTGTCGAGTCTGCCTGAGAGTGTGGTGTACTCCTGTCAGCCGTGCTTACAAGAGCAGCCTGATGGAGAGGACGTTAATGGAGCAAGTTGGAGGGAACTGCTCGACCACGAGCTGAAGACCGGTTTAGAGAGGGTGCTGTCTTGCCTGCTGAGTTCCAGCCTCACTAAGCACCTGGTCACCTGCAAGAAGGTGGGCATCCAATCTCTCCTAAACCAAGTATGCTGTTCTTTTGAAGTCGCAGCAGCCCATTGCTTGTTCAAAAAGCAGTTAGGATGCTGTAGTTTCACATAAACATGTTCTAGATTGTCGTCGTCAAGAGTCTGTGCTGTGAACTTCACATACTTTTAAAAATCCAGTGTTTACTTGATTCCGATAAACCATCATTGTCTCATTTGTAAGCACTGTGGTTTTCTTGTTCCATGAGGGGGTTTGGCGTCACGACACACATCTCCCTGACATCCTGTATAATTCAACCAATCAGATGACGACTTCGAAACTCCTCATGTTTCCCATTTTGTGGGCCTTATGCATTCAGCCACTGTTCTGTGGGCATGACATCTAAGGCTGAGAGTAGGGTTGTAATGACTAGATAAGGAATGGTAAAAATTATCTTAGAGAGCACATTCACTATGAGTAAGTTCCAGCTTAATCAGTACTTTGGAACTGAGGATAAAAAGTCACACCTTAATTTGGGGACCAATTCTCACTATCAACTAACTATTAATTATGGCTTAAACTCCTTATTTGCTGCTTATTAATAGTCAGTAAGGTAGTTGTTAAGTTTAGGTATGGGGTAAGATTTAGAGACCTAAATATGGTCCTGCAGAATAAGGCATTAATATGCGCTTTATACATTTTAATAAACAGCCAAAATGCTAGTAATATGCCTGCTAATAAGCAACTTGTTAATAGTGAGAATTGCTCCTTAAAAATAAAGTGTTACTGAGAAAAAAAAAAAAAAAAGGATTATGGGAATTATGACGTTTCGTTAGCCATATTCGGACAGTAATTGTTTCTCATGTGGACGTCTGTGAAATAAATTTACATGGCACCTCTGTGATAAAACCCGTTGATTATTGACAGTGGAGAAGAGTTCTGTGATCCTACGGAACCCGGGAATGCACTGCTCACGGGGCCAGTCACATGATTGTCTGCTGTAAATAAAATGTCATATGTTTGGAATAATAAGAATAAATTGATATTTACAATATCCTGTTTAAAAATAGGAAAATAGAAACGTTTTGAGAAATCTCACAAAATGATGGCTGTCATTTAAAAAATGTGGAGATTAGCAGAAATAAGTTAATGCAACCTCTTATTTACATAGAGTAAACATAAAGCTGCTTGGTTTATATTTTTATGTATATAACTGTATATAATACATATTTTAAAATCGTTTTGCATACATGTGGCTGCCATAATAATGACCCATTTCAAATGTTTACGTGCTTTTCTTCTATTTCTTCTTTTTGCTCTTAACATCTCCCACTCACTGTGGTGGTAGTTCTAAAATATTGTTCTTGGAAATACTTTCCTGCATTTCAGTAATAAATATGCATGCAAATAACAGCGAAGTGCTACAGTTAACATATGGTGTTTAGCAGTGGATTTAAACAGTGCATTTTCTTCTTGTAAACTCAGAGATGTGGTTTCGGACAGCAAATAAATGACCACACAACCTTGGGGGAAAAAGACCGACATTCTGGATTCGGTCGGCAATAAAATCAGCTGTCTCCTGTAAATGTTGAAAATAGCTTACGTCCCACGAGAAACATTTAGCATCCGAATCTGGCTTTTGACTTTAAAACCTCTTTTAAACCTAGTATGCTGTACTTTTAAAATTGCAGCAGTCCGTTTCTGTTGATTGTTTAAAAAGCAGTTAGAATGATTTAGTTTCACATAAACATTTTAAAAATAAATTTTTAGAATGTTCATTGTGGCAAGCATGAGCCTTTACTGGGTCAGAATTTCCATGAAAAGTCCATGAAATTTCCTTATTCCATGAAAAAAGCCATTGGAATTTATAGTCTGAAAAGTTAAAGAAAAGTCATGATTCACAATAGTCCTAGTTCTTTTCAACCCTTATCCAGTCTGGGAAAAGTCTTGGAAAATCGTTAGTCAGAATGTGCAGAATCTCTGCAGTTTGTGCTCTTGTACTTTATCATTCCAGTCCTGTCTTACAAAGCCCAATCAAGAGGAAATGTCAGTAAATATATATATTTTTTTTGTTTAAATGTTTAAACATTCATGTTCAAGATTGTCTTTTACAGGATACATATAAAAAGGAACACTGCTTAGTTACAGATTTCTGGTATTTTGTCTTGTTTCGTAGTGCACTACAGTGGGTTCCCTGAACACTGTGGATGAAAATTTGCCTGTCTGTGACTTCAGTGCTATTGGAAAGAAGTTTGATGAAGGCCTGTACACATCCTTGGTCAGTGTCTGTACACAGACTCCGTGTCTGTGCTTGTCTTAGATCTGAGATCAACATAAGGGAAAAGTCTTTAGCATTGTACCTCAAAGTTTGTCTTCTGAGTCGCAAAGAAATTGAGTTATCCTCGAATGGGATTGTACAGTTGAGAATGACCATAGTAATTGGTCCACATTCTATAGTTCAATTTGGCTGTGCAGTTTCACCATGCTTTTAGAGTGTTTGGCATCCCATAAAGCTAATAAACTAGTGCGTTATGCGTGACTATAAGTAATTACTGTTAGAAGTTATTTGTTAAGTGGTTTTGAGATGCCATTTCTGAACTAAATAAAGCAACTAAATAAATGCAGATTCTCTTGCACATTAATCACTAGCATCTCTCTCTCGACACACATCTTAGCTATTCAATCTCAAACTTAATCCTTGATTTAATGTAAAAATTTTTAAACTCTTGTTTCGGTAACAGAAAAACAAAATAGCAATGTTGATTTAGTTTGTGGCTTTGTCAAGCAGAAATCCTTTCATGAGGATGTGGTGAAAGTAATTCGCAATTACTTGGAAGATGAGGAATTTTTACCGGAGGACCAAAGACCCACTGCCCTTTCCCGCTCGTATTACCTGAAGGTCAGATTCTAATGTATTTTATATATTTAATTAATTACCAAAGTTATATTTTTACCCAACCAGTCAGAGTACCTTAGGTCATTCTGTGAAAACCATACTAATGATGCATTGCTTAAAAATACAAGTCTGGAATTTTATTGTTAGTCAGGATATGACTGCAACTTCAGTTGCTATTTGACACTACAGCTGTTCAAACTACTGACTGTCTTGAAAGCAAAAATACTTTTTTACATTGTAGTTTAATTTTGCATGATTCATATATATTTTTTTTTTTTACTTTTGGCAGTCCAATCACATGAGACAAAACAAAGTAGTATGTTAGCATGCATTTCCAAATATAGTCCTAGAAATGCTCTTAGGATATTTGTTTTTGTGGTTAAAATCTGCTTTTCAATCCTTTTTAGCTCTTAGAGGAAGTTTATGCATGGTTTAACAGTCAGGACCCTAAAATATGGGATCCACGCTCCAAACATCTGCCAGCGTAAGCACCATCAAGTTCTTTCCATTTGAAATAAACATTCATATATGAGCGGAAACGTTGTATCTTTTGGCAATGACACGTGCCTCCATTCCTGCAGCGGTATGCTTTCACATGCTGTGATGCCACCAAATTATGAACATGTTTATGCTCAATGGCGTGAGAGAGATGGATGTCATAAGGCTTTAGACGGCGCCCCACAGATGACTGGAAGAAACATGGACGTTAAATTGAGAGAAGAAGAGGATGTGTCCACACCTTTAGCTTATAACCTTAAAGGATACTTTATGGACACAAGGGCGTTACAAATGAATCTGAAAGGTAAATAAACACGCAAGTATAGAATGACATTAGTAACCATTCATGATTGTGAACATATGGAAAGCAGTGCAAATTATCCTAACTTTGGATTTTGATGTTATCTCCCAGGGAAGAAGCGTCGGCCTGCTAAATCCGACCTGGACACAGGTTTGGACGACGAGAGACAGTGCGCTCTGTGCCAAAAATACGGTGATGCAAAGGCCAGTGTAAGTACTTTTAAGACATAATTTAAGACTGTAAACTCACCACAGTATTCTACCTTTATTATAGCTTTTTACTACTAGGCCTTAACATGGATTTTAGGAATGGTGCCATGGTAATACCGTGGTTTTTTTTATGACACATGCAATGTAAATATTACGGTATTCTTTGCAGTACCATGTAAACACTATGGTATATTAATATAGTAATCATTATAGCTATCATTATGGCATTACCATCTGATAATATCACTATACCAGTACTTTGCAGTACTTTTCCTAAGGGTGCTTACAAAGTTATAATTATCAGATGCATTGTCATAAAATTACAGCATACAACTCTGAAATTACAATCCTTTGTATTACACATTTCTCTTCCCAGGATGCAGGGAGGTTGCTCTATCTAGGGCAGAATGAATGGGCTCATGTAAATTGCACCATGTGGTCTGCAGAGGTGTTTGAGGAGGACAATGGCTCACTTCTGCATGTTCACAGTGCTGTTGCACGAGGTCGTCTGATGGTATGTCATTAATCTCATGTAATTCTGGTTCAGCTGAGCCATTGGTGACACTTTGTACTGCCTTGAGTTAATAACTTTAACAAACATAATGCTTTATAGACTGTTAATGTATAATGCAATAGTTTGAAATTTCATAATTTAGTATTTAAATTGAACGGTTTGCTTCAGTTAACAGTTAAACTCAATATAATGTTTGGCTTTGCTAATGTTCTGACTTTCCTTCCGTAGCGCTGTGAACGGTGTAACGGAACTGGGGCAACAGTAGGTTGCTGCCTTACTTCGTGCCAGAGCAACTACCACTTCATGTGCGCCCGCTTTCGCAACTGTGTCTTCCAGAATGATAAAAGAGTTTTCTGTCACAAGCATCGTGACCTTATAAGTGGAAAAGTGAGCTTTCAGTTTAATAGCATTTAATTTAGTCATAGCTGCAATTTTTTTTTTTGTTTATTATATTTACTAAAAATTCAGTTAAATAGAAACTTAATGTTGGCTTTTACATGGCTGGTCTGAGAGAACACCTTTTTTCTTCTGTAATTTACCAGATCATCACTGGTCAAGGGTTTGAAGTACTTCGGAGAGTTTATGTGGATTTTGAAGGGATTAGTTTTCGCAGAAAGTTTTTGACTGGATTGGAGCCGGAGTCAATCAATTTAATGATAGGTTGGTCTTTTTATTGTTGAAGGATATATAAATAACACAATGTAATGTGTATAAATATGAATGTAACGTACTGTTATATAAAAATGATTGTACAATTCCTGCACAATGTTTTAAACAATAATTTTCACCTGTTAGGTTCTTTGCTAGTAAAAAAGCTTGGAAAGCTGAGTGAATTATCTGCCTGTCATGGAAAACTTTTCCCCGTGGGTTATGAGTAAGTACATTTAATTTTTTTAGGAGTTTGCTCCTGACATAATGGACATGCTACTTTTGTAACACTTCTAGTATTGACACTTGCTTGCACATCAATACAGTTTTTATTTCTTTTGCTCTTTAGATGCTCTCGCTGGTATTGGAGTACTGTAAACCCCTTACGTCGATGCAAATACACATTTCGTGTTAGGGAGGTTCAGCCAACTGTTCAGGAAAAACCAGTGGAAGAGTCGCCCGATCAGGGAAAAAATTGCACAATTGCCCATAGCCCATGGCCCCAGTCAGGTGAATAATATTACTAATTGCAAAGTGATAGCTTGTACTTATGGCATTTTTTTAATATTCAAATTCCAATTTATATGTTCATTAGAATCTGAAGCCCCGGGAGTGGATTTGTCTTCAACTAATCCTTCCACTGAAACAAATTCCACCTCGGTATCTGTCTTTGCCAAACCGGACCTTGGTGCTCGTCCCAAAATCCCTTTATACCCCCAGAACAGAAGACCTGCTGGAGGACTATCCAGACCACTGCCTTCTCCAGGTAGTTAATATCAATTCAATGAAGATGCATGTATGGCCTTCACAAAGATCATAAGAAGCCTTTTGATGATTGATTGTTTGTTTGTTTTACCCAGGAGCTGCCCCATCCAAACCTCACCACATTCTGACTATTAGTGATTTGGATGACACTCGAAGGCCACGACGGCATAGCCCACACACCCAGAATAGTGGTACCCGCAGTCACATGACCTCCCCTACTCTTGGATCCCCTGCAGCCCCAATTGCATCTAGAGCAGGTGGTTCCCACCACCCTAAAACCTCCCAGCCTACCTCCCCAGTTTTCCCCCTTGGTGCTACTGAAAACCTGCTGACCTCTTCATCAGCTCGTCCTGTCGGTCGAAGTGCTTCCTCAGTCCGGGGTTCTGGGATATTGACACCCCATTCTACCTCAGGACTATTTTCACAGTCCACAAGGCAAGGTGGCATTGGCAGCACCCCTTGCACCAACCGATCCCTCACCTCTCCCACCCACCTCTCCACAAGACCAAGGCCTTTTGATTTTAATCAGATAGACTCTGTTGAACTTCCACATAATTTTATAGCATCACCACGGGAGCATCCAGCAGGAAATGGTGCCTTGCCATTAGGAGACACTTTGGGTACACAAAAAGGTAATCATCTAGGCAGTGACAGGGATTTCCCTTACACATCCTTCCACTTAGAAGCGGACCTGACTGTGGCACCTGAGCTGAGAACTGAGCTTGAAATTGAAGAAACCGAGCTGAATGAAGGTGTAGCTATGAACTGCAGTGCGCAAATTGTAGTTGAAGGTGAAGACAACCAGGAAGACTTCTGGGAACCAGATGAAGAGAACTCCACAATGTCTACCCAGAGATTGTCTTGTACTGTTGATCCTTGTAGGGAAGACTGGGGTAATAGTTCTTCTGATGAGGACATGGAAAACTACATCAACTTCACTCGCACGGTGGTTACTTGCAAGGCTCAAAGGGATGCCTCTCAGACATCTACATCTCCATCTCCATCTTTAAGGCAGATTTCACAACTTGATGGTGTGGATGATGGGACAGAGAGTGATACAAGTGTGGCTAAAAATGATAACCAGGGTGTGAAATTGTCAAATCAAGGCCAAAAGCCACACAAACCGCTCAACGCTGTGCCTCATGAACAGACCGCTAGCAATAGGCTATGTTTGGCATTTCCAAGTCCTGTTTCTGATATTTCTTCAATTCGGTTGGAACCCGTGTCCAACTCGGAGGCTGTTGCTTATCAAGATTCTTTTGGTGTAACTCAAACATTGCAATCAAACCCTATGGTGGTTGTACACACACAAGACACACTGACTAATTTTGTTGACCTAAAGCCTTCAAACCCTGCATTTTCTACATATGGTAATGATTACCAAGCCCCTCATTTAATAATAGAACCAGAGACACCCTTAATTCTTGAGAGATGTGATCCTCTTTCACCAAATGCACATTTTACAGAGTTGGTCCCAGTCCAGGATTCCCTGAGTGACCCACCTGACTCTAAAGAATGGTATTTGGATCCTAGTAGTGGCCACTTTGTGTCATCTATGGCTGACTCTAGAGTTTACCAAAACAACCACTTGCAAGATGATTCTCCTGACCTAATGGAAGTTAATGGAATTCAGAATCTACAGCAACAAAATCCTGTTCCTTTCACGGTGTTATCCAAATCTGCATCATCTTCTGAACTTTTATCTTCTGATTCCTCTGCACATGTTTCTTTTGCAACATTCCCAAATCAGACACCTTCTGCAAATGTTTCCTTGTTCCCTGTCCAAACTCCTGAGGGTAAGACGGTCTTGCCACCCATGGAGAGTTTCAGAACCAAATTACACCCAACTGCTGAACCAAGGCATCCTGTCCCTTCAGTTCCTGGAGGGGCAATGCCATGTGTTCCCACAAATTTGCCACAGAAACCAGAGTCTATGCTGACTGTACCATCAGCCACTGGGGTACCCCTTGGGACTTATGGGCCAGTTTCAGGTACAGTGTCTGTCCCGTTGCATCCCACTTACCTGCAGCCTATCGGCTCTACAACAGTTGGCATAGTCTCCACCTCCTCCTCTGTAACTTCTCAACCATCAGCTCAGTGCCAAGCAATGCCTTCTGCTATTCAGCCAGCCTCTGCTCCAGGTGTCATCAATGGGTACAACACCACACCTATGCAAAGAGAAACAGCTCTAGGACGAACAATTTCCATCAATTTTTCAACCCCCAGATCAACAATTGAACCCCAACAACAGTTGGTTACCCAAGCATTACCAGGTCATGCTATTCTTACCGTAAAGGAGGTTGGTGGACCCAATGTGGATCCTACACCACATGTTTTACTTGTTAATCGTCTTGGTCAGATTTTTGTCAAAAACCCTGAAAGCGACACCTTCCAGCTGCCGACACCAAATTCCCCTTCATATAACTGTGTTACTCAAATCGCCAGCCTCTTGCAAAGCAATGCCTTATCGGCAACACTTGCAGCAGCTGGGAACTTGACCCCAGTTGCAGGTGCCACCATTCCAACCCAAGTCCCCCAAATTGTGACCCCATTGGTACAGACCTCCAACACCATTACACAGCTGCTTACCACTAGTACTAATGGAGCAGCTTCAATACCAGCAGATGTTAAAAAGCCACATAGGAATGCCAAAGATTCTGGAGATAGATTGAAAAAACCAAGGAATAAGAAGGAGTGTTCCACACCTAGAAGGACGAAGTCTGCTAGCACACATGGCCCTTCTAGCAAACAATCTACGAGTCAAATAGCAACCTCCTCAGATATATCTAATCAAGCAGATTGTGCCCAAGCTATCATCAACCAAGCTATGGCTGGATATTATGATCCCAACAAGACTGTTTCCCTAATTCCCTCATCACCTCGTAACAGTACCATTATTGGGCGAACTCAGACAACAAGTTCAGTAGTTTTACCAGAAGGACTCCTTGTCGAACCAGAGATGAAGGCTTCCCCACCAGCGACACCAGAAGCAGCACCTCGACCAAAACAGGTTCGAATGAAAAGAGTGTCCTCTTTATCTGACCGTTTTGCCACCAAGAAATCAAAATCTGACTTTTTAGACCTGGACCGCCCTAGTGGATTGGAAGAACCACGCAAGTCAAACTCCGTATCAGCCAGGTAAATGGAACCAGTAGGAATTTACTCAAATTTACGAATGTTTTCTGTGCTTTCAAACTCTGCATGGAATATTAATTTCTCTTTTCCTCTTTCTGTTGCAGGTATGGAGTTCGCATTAAAACCCCAACCGTCAAGGGAATTCTAGACTGTGACAAGCTGAATGAAGAGCGAAGTAGTGACTCTGAGAGTGCAAGGTGAGTCTTTATGTGGAAAAGGCGGAATTCCAGGGTGATTTCAATAAAGACATTTAAGTATCAGTATTATTTATGCCTTTTCAACAGTTTTGAAGTTAAGAAATAATACACAAATGTCACCTTCTTCCTCAAGAATATGAGGTTACTGGCAGCATTGTGAGTCCTGCACTGCTAAAGTATTTGTAATATAGTATTACAGTTTTGAAAAATTGTTTTGTTAAACAATCTAATTTTAGCACCTACCTGTATTTTTTTTTTGCTCATCAAACTGTAAATCCAGTGCATACATGCAGTGCATCATGCCAAATGTCTGTTATTATAATATTTTATATATTTCAAAGAAAGAATACTGAAAACTTTCATATTAAATAAGAAATACCACAGTATTTTTTATGTGGGCAGTTTGTTCCACCTTTTCCAATTAAGTATATCATTAGAATGAGTAGGGACGTTATACTGTAGTAATGGAAAGAACTGTGGTTGAAACTGACACTGTACGTGGCTTATCATTTATTTTATTTTAGGCCTGGACCTTGGGATCGTCTTTCGTTGCCTCGTGGTGGAGACAGCAACAAGCCAGCAACCTGGGATCCTGCTAACCGTAATGCACTGTCTGACTGGAACAAATACTCAGGTATTATTTTTTATTATTTTGCTCACTTTAAGGTGTTTCAATGGATTAAACAATGAGACTATTTTCTTTTAGGGATGCTGTCCTGTTCAGATGATGAGATGCCTCTCTTGGATGGTGAAGAGCATAGTCCTCCCAGCCGATAGATATATATTTACAATTAACTTCTGAAGCCAATTTTTGTAGTGTCTTTTCAATGCTTAATTTGTCTGTTGCAATAACATAACACTACTACTTAATAATAATAATAATAATAATATTGTTGCTGTTGTTGTTTTTGTTATTTTAATTTAAGGGCATTTCCCAGCCAATTAATATGTGATTATTTGCTGTTCATTTGATTAATTATCTTGTCTGCCACAATAATAATAATAATATTTTAACTTTTAGAAGATGACAGATTATTGACTTAAAAAGCCACTTTTTTAAATGTCCATTAAGTACTTAAGTTGTCCGCCTAATGTCATATTATTACTACTAAATAATAATAAATTAATATTATTATTGTACATGATGACAAACAATTTGACTTCTAAAAACACCTTGTAATTGTAATACTACTAATACCACCACCAATAATAATAATTATTATTTTTATTATTAAAGAGCCTTTTCTAGCAAACTGATGTGTGATTGTTTGCTGTTCATATGATTAATTTGTGGCCTTATTGTGTAATTAATTCAGTTGTGTTTTATAATTGATTGACAGTCCTAGTTCACAATCTAGAACCAGTTACTGGAACTTTGTGCCCTTAAATAAGGAAATTAATAGCAGGTCGCTGTTAGGGGAATGTCCCTGTATCATTAACTTCTATAGAAAGAGGCTAAATGACTAATACCGAGCAACAAGAATGTAGGTGTTTTAAAGTGAAGAAAATGTTTTGCGCTGTGCTTCTTGGTTACCTTGCAGACATGGGGTGGGGGTTCGGATGTGTTCTTGTATAGGAGAGCAAGAAGAGATGTTATCTAGGAGCACAAGTTTTGTGATGCAGGTTTGCATGCCTAAAAATGTCTTTCCTGAGTATAGTTCACACCTACTCTTTTATCTGTTTCGCAGGAAGTCTACCTTTGATATGTTCAACTTCCTGGCGTCACAGCATAGACAGCTTCCTGACACCGACCTGTATGATGAGGAGGAGGATGAGGTTCTTCTAAAATCCACCAGGTCAAATAAGACTGTATTACAACACTATGTGCATAAAGTCGCAGTTGAAAAGCCATTCCATTGCTGATTTGTTTTTAATTGTATTTTTATAAATAATAGTTTTTAAAAATATTTTAATAGGATTTATTATGAGAGATACTCAAGGTAATATTTTTGCTGAAAAAAAAAAGACTGAAAAGTTGACACTCAAGTTTGTTTTGTTTGTTGCCATGACAGTGTTCCCTTCATATTCCCTTCCCCTTTTTAATCTTTTACTGTTCATATTTCCTCTTTCTTGGTTATTTCCCTCAGTGTTGCTCTTTTTTTTAATGATTAGTCAACTGTGGTTTGGTTCACATGACGAATAAATTCAATTGCACTTTGTAGGCGTGCAACAAGTTTGGAGCTTCCGATGGCAATGCGCTTTAGACATCTAGAGAAGACATCCAAGGAAGCGGTTGGTGTCTACAGGTAGGTTGACTGTTTTTAAACGTTAAATGAGGAACTGAGTCAGTTTCAGTTCTGTCCCTAGCTCCCAGATTTGAGCAACATCAGTAGAAAAGATGGGCATGTCTTTATATTTGGCAGAAGTCAAAATTCCATTATGAGGCTATATAAGATGAGATGAAGTCACCAGTCGCATGAAGGAAATGTTCACCTATAGTTTCCAAGTGATCGCCCAAAAATGAACCTGTGAAAACCCCCTGGTGACATGGCGATCTATAAAGATGCTAATCTTTAGATCTGCTTAAAATATTTGTCTTTCTTTTTAGCCCTACCATGTCTTAGATGCAGCCAGCGAAAATATAATCTTTGGAATCCATGCTGCAATCCTTTTCCAGTTTCTTTTCATCTGCTCTCTTGGTTCTCTTAAGAAATTATTTTCATTCAAAACAGGTCACGTTCATTCCTGTAACTTATTCTTGCTGTAGGTCTGCGATTCATGGAAGAGGTCTGTTCTGCAAGCGAAACATCGAGGCAGGAGAGATGGTCATTGAGTATTCAGGCATCGTCATTCGTTCTGTTCTTACAGACAAGCGAGAGAAGTATTATGATGGCAAGGTAAGTAGAAATGTGCTTTTTTTTTTTTTTTGAGCATATTTGTGTATTTGTGATCGCTAATTACCACCAGGTTTAACAACAGAAATGCATTTTGGGTTGTCATGGCCCTTTGTTTTTACCCATTTTCTTTGTTATATAAAAAAATTAAATCAAAAAGAACTCATATTTTGCCTATAAAAATGTTATTTTTATTACCAGAATGCAAAAAAACCCCACTTCTTACTGTAATGTAAAAATATATATTAAATATTTTTTATCACACACGCAGGTTTTGTTTTTTTTGTTTTTTTGTTTTTTCAAAAAAAGTCTTTATTTAAACAGGTTTAGAAAAGTCTTTAATTCTTTAGTTTAAAACAACTGTTTTCTATTTCAATATATTTTAAAATCTATTTTATTCCTGTGATGCAAAGCTGTATTTTTAGCAGCCATTACTCCAGTCTTCAGTGTCACATGATCCTTCAGAAATCATTCTAATATGCTGATTAGCTGCTACGTTTATTATTGTTATCTATGTTGAAAACAGTTGTGCTGCTTAATATTATAGGCCTTTTTCACGGTCCGCGTTCAAAAACCGGAAGCTTCGAGTAGTTGTGTAAAATAACTTCCGCTGTAGCCTGCATGAATGGCAATGCCCATAGCACGGGGTTGTTGTGATTTATTAATGAACAATCCATCATAGACGTTTCATCAAAACATGTTAACCACAGTTTTCAAACATTAATCGGGTATGACGAATTTATTTAAAATTGTATTTATTTTAATTTTATTAATATTTTAATAATATTTAATTTATTTTTACATAATTTTCTGTACTATATTTGGGTTAGAGTTTGAATATCACTCTTATACCACCTCTTTCCTCTGCTCTTCCTACCAGGGCATTGGTTGCTATATGTTCCGCATCGACGACTTTGACGTGGTAGACGCCACGATGCACGGTAACGCGGCGCGGTTCATCAACCACTCCTGTGAGCCAAACTGCTACTCTCGAGTCATCAACGTGGAGGGTCAGAAGCACATAGTCATTTTCGCTTTGCGGAAAATCTACCGTGGAGAGGAGCTGACCTATGACTACAAGTTCCCCATAGAAGATGCCAGCAACAAGCTCGGCTGCAACTGTGGTGCTAAGCGCTGTCGGCGCTTCTTAAACTGAAGAGCAGTGCTGGAGAAGTCGATGGAGTTTGACGGGTAAAAACGGTGGACCGAGGCTTGACGTGTAAAGGGGGTCCATGCCGAAGGTTTCAAAGCTTAACAGTCACCACTTTAATGTCAAAGTCGTTCAACAGGCATATACAAGCGCCACCAACTGTTGTGGAGCCATTCACGCCCTTCAACCAGGATTCCTCCCGATCAGTTGACATTCAGTCCAGTAGAGCAGATGAGATGGGAGCATGAGTGATGATGTCTGGTAACACGGCCAAGGCCTTTTCAAGAACATTTCCCACCATGCTGCATCATCTTTGCTTTATTAAAAGTTTTATCGGAATATTAGTGGGTTTTGAAATGAGTCTTGGTTTCGGTCATAGCATTTTTTTTTTTAAACCTGGCACGAATAACTCTAGGCAGAGTCCTTGTATATTTTGCAACAAAATTGTGACTACTCTTAAATTATTTCCGCAGGCTTTTTTATGCTTTCCAAAAGCTGGAACACGCTGCCAAGAGTTTGGGCGTTCTGTTGCAATGAATAACCTTTAAGTTCCAAACAACCTCCCTCTTTCTCCACCCTTGAGCTGACCTCAAATTGCTGGATTCTTACGATCTAAACAAAATCACCTCTGTGCTTGAGAAGCATTTTACTGTGCGGACCACATAGTGTGTGAAAGCTTAGCGGCAGTGAAGATACTGTAAAAACATGCATATTACTAATGAAATGATGTGAACGTATTCAGATCTGTATCTTGTCAATCTTATTTTAGATCACACTTTCGTGTTTAGCTTAGAAAGACTCCCACTTCTCAGGACAACACTGTAAACCCCTCAGAACGACCCATGGATCCACTCCTTGCAAATGGCAGTCAGTAAGAGACGCAGTCAGTGCGTTTTACACTTGTCTGTGACCGCTTTCTTTCGCTTGAAAACTCTTTTAATCTACTCAAAGGCTTTATTTTTAATAATTTATTTTCGTTGTATTTTTACAGGCAGGTCTGACTTTTCATTCTGTTTTTGTGGGCTTGTTCTGTGGTGTAACTGTATAAGCGTTTTTTTAAACTTGATGGCCTCCTCCATGGTGCTAAGCCCAACATGAATCCTAAAGAGGATCAAATCCATACTTCCTCTGTTTCATGTCATGTCAGAGATCCGATGCGAGCTGGAGTTGATGCACCCCGTTACTAAAATAGCAAAGCCAACCATACACGCTTTCCAACAATGAGCCCATAAATGTCAAAGATGTGTTGAAATTCGGAGTACTCATAAGTGGCAACGCTTTAGCATGTTTGTGCTTTTTATACCTCTTGAGAGACTTGTTTCGAAACAAAATCATGCCTGAGTGGATATTTGTGTTTCTTTTCGTCATGTAGTAGAAGACACTACTTAAGCTAATCGTGACTAAACGCATCCTCATTGCGTCAAGGTGTGATGACGTTGTGGATTGTTCCTGCAATAAATCATTTTTTGCCACAATTGCACATACAATTGGAGCTCTACATTTATCTAGGGAGTTAGAAACTGCTTAAAGTGTCCTAGAGACGTAGGAGCGTGAAGGCGATGTATACTGGTGACTTACAAAATCTATATATATATATATATTTATAGAAGAGTTATTGAAACAGTTTTTCAGTAGACGGTGGCACTCGGCACCTTAATTTTCCTTGAAAGATTTGGGAGTTGGTTCTCTTCTTCATGCAGGAGAAAAATCAACAAGCTGATGCCATCGTTCGGACTGTAAGGGCGTTCTGTTTATTCCTGTTTAACTTTATGGGAGTTTTTACCCAAAGGTCTGTGCTTTTTGTATGTGACCACAGTCTTATCAGAGTTTTCTTCAGGGTTTTTTTTTTTTTTCTTCCCCATTTTCTTTAACTTGAACATTGAGGATGAGTTCTTGCAACGTGGCCTTTTTACGAGGTGATGTTTTGAGCCAGCTGTTTGTTTTAAATGTTTTAGTTGTCTGATTTTATTTGACGTTCTCAAAGGAGAAGTTTCCTCCCACTAAATCACGTTGTCGTCTCCTGCTTTTTCCATATTCTGTGTGTTTGTGTGGAGGGGGAATCTCCATCAAGATCCTGAAATTTAGCATCTCTCAGATTTTAATCAAACCACCCCAGACTTGCAAGGATTCTACCTCAAGCTGTTCAGACAACATCAAGTAATACTAATGCAAAACTAGATTTGCTTGGTCTGTTCTGTCATGCAGAGTTGGCTTGTGTGCAATGAAGGATGCAAAGCACTAGTCAGGACCTCCTGTGATAATGCATCTCCCAGAGCTTCTTGGGAAAAGAAAATCTGTGTTCCTTTGTAGGTTATTTTAAAAAAACAACAACAACGTTGTGTTGAAAAAGACTTAAAATGGAAAAAAAAACGTGTCTTTGCTACCTTGTACAAACGACCCCTAAGTTTGTAAATAGTTGTATACATATTTCTAAACCCGTTTAATTTTTCTATGCACTTTTTTTTATTTATAATGTTTTTGCTTAATAAAGATGTACAATGTTTGAACAAAGTTCAAGATTTATTGTGGTATTTGTGCTGAACGTACAAAAGAATCAATTGTGCGCCGCTAGTAACTAATGATATATTGCTTTCAGAAAGGGTTTGTTGCCAAATCCGGTTTAGAAATTGAAAACATGTAATATTGGTTTGCCAACAATTATATTTACAAGATTTATAATTCATATAAAAACATTCGAAGAATTTTTTTTTTTAATGAATTATAGTAATTTAACAAAAATCTAAATTATGAAACATTAATAGTGTTAAAAGTAAATAAGCGTGAACTAGGATAGAATGGAGGTAGAACATTTAGGGGAAATTCCAAGTGTCTTGTCTTTGATTGTAAATGTTTCTATATGGCCTCCAGATGCACATCTGTTACCCATTGTTCACTGAATGAAGTGAGTTGTTTTCGTCCAAAATAACCCTAGACGTTCATATTGTGTGCGTTTTTCAAGCACTGCATGCTTCAACAGCTATCATTGAATACTGAACTTCTATAGGAACAAATACTCTAAAACAACTATTTTCAAGTTGGCGATTTCATATAAATGCACACTACAATTTGATTCATATGAAAATGCAAATTCACAAATTTGCCCAAACGTAAAATAGTTACGAGGTTATGTTGAACAATACAGTATAATAAGTGAATTACTGTTTTGTGTTCTTAAAATATCACATGAATTATTCTTAAACACCCGCAGGAAGCTTCGCCAAAATCTCCACTGCATCGTTGCGACCGATAGCAGTTAGCAGCTCAGCAAGGTTGCTGACAGTCCAGTCTGGGTTTTTGGTGACGACACTCTCCAAAACGGCGACGAGGGGGCTTTTGTGGTCCTTCATGGAATACGCATAATTGATCCAGGCAAAGGAAAAGGAGCACTGGGCGGCAAGGTGACGTGTGTTCTTGGCACCAGAGATGTCCGGGTCTAATACCAACACAAGCTCCTCAAGAACATCCAGGTTGTTCAGCACCGTTTTGAGAGGTGCATCCTGGACCTCAGGTGCTGTGAATAGATTTACAGAAAATCACCAGTTTCTCACTTGGAAAAGTACTCTTAAGGAGTAATCAGGAGTTATCTAGGGTCATGTGAAACTAGTTAGTTCTTCGTATACCCACCTAACAGATGCGACAATCCAGTTTCGTGATCATTGTTACTACTCTCTTTGATTATGTTGTATGAGATGGCCTGCTCATATCTGCCAATGCCCTTTTTGGACAGGCTTTCATGACTTGCTCCATTACAGCATTTTTTGAATTCTGTTAAACACAAGAGAAGTTCATGTTTTGTTAATCTTGTGAGATTCATTTTGCTTCATCGTAGCACTCAAGACTTTATGTAGCAATAATAATTATGTAATACTACAAAATAACACGTAAAATGTGATGTTTATAACCTCTGTTGTAAAAAATTATGATTTCATACAAGTGCCCATATTTAATTGGTCAAAAAAAACCAAACAAACAAAAAACAGTCCCGTCCCAAACTCACGTCATTGGCGTCAGTGTTGGTGTGTTAATATGCCCAAACAAACAGAGCAATGTTTTAATAAAGTCACTAGAGTAATCTGTTTATGAAAGACATATGTGTCATGTTAAACTACCAATCAACCATTTATTGATTTATTATTTTATTTGCATAAAGAATAAATGAAGGAATAAATGAAGAGTTTGGTTCCAAAATGCCATAAACGCCATTTTTTTTTTTTTTTAATTGAGTTTCCGCCCACATTTTTACTCAAATTAATCTAAATGGATTTATAGCGTTTTGGAACCAAACTCTTCAAATATAGATGTAATTTAGCAATGAGATTAAAGTCTTTAAGGAGCTCATTTTGAAATATGTCGGATCAGCATCAGTCGGTCATAACAGGAAACATTAATATTTATAAAACCTGCAGGAATTCCTTCATATATCCTGCCTCCTTTTGTTTCTGACTGACCTTCATTGAAAGGTTTAGTCCTCCTCTTGATGAAAAGGAAGAGACACACCAGAATGAGAGTTGATAAAATCCCAAAACATACATAGATCCCTAAAAAGATGCACGAGAAAACAAACCATCACATCTGCTTTTGATCAATCATCAAAGCCAACACATTCTATCTCTCTCATTCTCTGTGTGTATAATATGTACAAACTGAATAGTCTAAATTTTAACATGCAAACTAGATACAGATCAACAAAACGCACTGAATACATTTTGGGTTGGTGATATACTGTAAATGTGTACAATACCAATTCAAAAGTTTGGGGTCAGTAAAATTTACGTTTTAATTCAGCAGGCAAAAGTAACAGTAAAGTCTTTTACATTTTTACAAAATCGTATTTAAAAAAAAAAAAAAAATGCTGTTCCTTTCTATACATTAAAGAATCCTTTAAAAAATGTATCACAAATATTAAGCAGTTTTCACAGTTGATTATAATAAATGTTCCTTGTGCACCAAATCAGCACATTAGAATGATTTCTGATAGATCACGTGACATTGCCATCACAGGAATAAATCACATTTCAAAATATATTCAAATACAAAATGGTAGTTTTAAATTGTAGTTACATTTTTACAATACTGTTTTAACTACTTTTTTGTACAGCATAAGAGACTTCTTTCAAAAACATTACAAAATCGTACAGTCCTCAAACTTTTGAACCGTACCGTTTGTAAAGAGATGTAGATTACAATAAAGATTACAAATAACGAAATGCAAAACAATACCTATGAATTGGTTAACTGATGACGTTTCAGTGGAACTTGGAGTGGTGATTGGCATAAAGCTTTGAGTGCTTGTAGAGGGCTCTGGAAAGATGTTTTGAGTGCTCGGAGAGGGGCTTGAGCTGGCGACAGAGCTAGATATGAAGACAGTCGTACTCGCAGTCTAAAAAAAACAGTTTGCACTGTCAAAATAGGATATAATATGGCCTATATCAAGCTTTATTTAGCACTAAAATGCATTTAAATTGTATTTGTTTAAAACCCTGTAACTGTCACCCGTCCACTCTGTGGGACGCCTAAGTTTACTTCACTATATTACAATTAAATCCTAATCTAATCATGACAAACTATATATCGTTGGAAAGGTCTAAGACTCCTAAATAATTGTTTACAAAAACATTGGTAAAATATCTATGTAGGAAAAGTAATAGATTAATTTATGACAAGAGTGCACCTCAAAAATCTACATAACATAACATGAGTTCTGACCTTTGTCAAAAAAAGTTTTCTTTGTTGCCTTTTTCTCTATCACACTTTAGAAATCATCAGAAATGATATATCAATTGAAAACTTAAAATCTCAAAATTCATCCTTTGAACCCCATTTTAAAATCAAACATTGCATTGCCATGAAAATGGTACATCAATAACATGTTACAAAATGTTCATGAATTATAAAACGTTAAGTTTGGCTCGTGCACTTTCACGTCTATGTTCAAAAATGTGAGTGACAGTTAAAGGGTTAAGCTAATATCTCTCTGTTTTCGATGAGAAAGCATTAAGAGAGAGCTGACTTGAAAAGTTAGTAGAAAAATCGTTATTAGCCTACTGGTATCCTTGTGGTCTGCGACGGTTGAGGGATGCATTTTCCATTAAAAGCCTGCTCCCTGCAAGTTAAAGGGTTAAGCTAATATCTCTCTGTTTTCGATGAGAAAGCATTAAGAGAGAGCTGACTTGAAAAGTTAGTAGAAAAATCGTTATTAGCCTACTGTTATCCTTGTGGTCTGCGACGGTTGAGGGATGCATTTTCCATTAAAAGCCTGCTCCCTGCAAAAAAAAAAGAAAAAAAAAGAAAGTAACATTTCCAATATTATCACTGCAAATCGGAATAAAAGAGAAAAGCAACATTTAAAGCTCACTTTTTTATGTAAAGGTAATGTGTCCTATGGGCTATCTAATCAAAATGAATAAACCGTTATGGTGGACTAGCTATAACTAACTTTAATTAGCAATGTATTCATCCAGATTAGACGAAATTTCTCTTATTGCAGGTACAAACAAACAAATTAGTAGCCTAGTAAAAAAATGAAAGTGAAACGTACCCTTGCCTACAGCAGATGGCATCCGATCTGGTGCTGCATTCAGACGCAGTCAACTGTGGCGTTGGGCAAGAGCGACAATTTTGGCATTTGACTTGAGATCCATCATTAAATGTCCCACCTCTGCATGGTTTGTAAGGTGACTCGATCTGGTGTTGCTCATCGGACCACCCGCAGTTTTTAATAAATTCGTAACCTGTCCTCAAAACAGAACGACGATGAGTAAACGCGTTCACTTAAGTTTTCTCGACGTCTAATAGATTGATGTATCACTTTATTATAAATGTGTACATCACAAATATAAAATCTGTATGTTTTGTATGAAAGTCTTTTGAGTAATTGGCTGTTAATGAAAACATCTGTTTTGCGCGACCGACACATTGCGCCGCGGAAATTACCTTTACAGTTAATTCAGGATAATTGGGACATTTTCCCAGGCATCTCAATGGCAAAAAGTGCCCCAATTTATTTGAATTCACCCTACATATAATTCGCGTTCAAGTTACATGGACTAAGAGCGCGATTTATCGAACACATAATTTAAAACTTACCTTTTATGCTTTCATATTTAGTCTCACATGGCTCACATTTGTAACGAGAACGATTCCAGAATGTCCCTTCTATACACCTATCTGAAGTCATCGAGGCTGATGTGTTTCTCCCTGGCGTGACTGAAAAGCGTCCGAGAGACTGTGAAGCTAAGCAGCTGTGAGTTGAAGGGAAGGAACTGGGTGGGTTGTAGCCTATATTCTTAAAGCAATGACGACAATGGGTCATAACTTTATAAGTCACGAAAAGGAAAATAAGGGACAATCGTGGTTTGTCATAGAAAAATAAGGGACGCACACACACACACACACACACACACGTGCTGAAGAATAAAATCTTCTCAATTTGTATAAAAGTGTTGTTTGTCAAAGAGGACCATAGCCTACTATACTATTTTTTTTTTTTTTTTTACTCTTTTACTCATTTATTCATGTTTCCTGTTGTCAGTAAATACAATATAATGGTTTCATTAACTTATGCATTAATTAATTACTTGACTGAAAATTGAGATGTATTCACCTTGGCTGCATTTATCTAGTGTGTCATGCATAGCTATGGCGTATGACAAGACAATTTACATTTAGCTTGTTTTACTAATATACTGTATATATATAGAGAGAGAGAGAGAGAGAGAGAGAGAGAGAGAGAGATTAATATAATTAATTAATATAATTAATTAACAGCATTTATCATCATTATTGTTCCTAAGTGTTGGGGTGAGCTAGCAATGCATTCTGGGGTAATCTTAATTTTTAAGTAGTAATACTTACATTTTTCGAGTATAATATCAGCAGTCTTCTCCAAAGGCGAGATCTTCAAGCGGCTGCCCGACGTCTCCTTTGTGCAGACATTGCAAACGCTGAGGAAAACCGTAGGTAGGGTTGTGGAGTTACTGATGCTATGAGGTGTTAGTGCACCTCCCTCTTATCTTCTTTGTATTATTATTACTGCAGAACTTATAATTACTTACAAGCTCAGGGAAATATGGCTGTATCTTTAACAATGAACAATCATAATGACAGAAAAGATAAGTATAATGGGTTTGCGTACATCAAAGTATAAGATTGCACAGAAAAAAAGGGCACAATGACAAGGTTAAATATCTTTGAATAGTCATAATATTCATATAATCATCATAATGCATCAAATATTGCATTTGTTGTTGTTGTTTTTTGTTTTGTTATTTATAAGCCTGAGGGATGAAACGAGAGATAAATTCAATAAGAAAAAGGAAAACAAAGGAGACTTAAGCCAGTTTTGCTTGTGGATGAAAAAATGTGCACATAAAATAAAGAAATTAACAACATATTCAAAAGACAACGATTTGGGGTTTTCATAATAAAATATATCTTTAAGGATAAAGCTGTGGGTCATATTAGTAGAGTTAAAATTTTAAAAACTTAAAGCTGCAGTCTGTAAGTTTTGCCACTTTGTCGCCATCTCTGTTTGAAAACCTGGAATTGCAGTTGTTTGCGGAATTATCTTCCTTGCGTGGGTTGTGCTCCGGCATGGCTCCAGCGCAGATGAATCTAATGTTTTGAGGTGAATGTGTGGCTGTCAGTCACCGCACCGGTGTGTATATTTACTGTACTTTGCAATCACATATTCTAGCCTACATCTTGGTAGTATATGACCCAAATAAGAATTTTCACCGTATATTGTCATTTGAACAAGTAACAAGTCTGCCACGTTTGTTCTGACTAACTGAGGAAAAAAGCATTACAATAAATCACGCTGCCAATGGTGATTTAATCTAAAGATTGGTTAGCTCATATCATACCAAACCATGCAAATTATTATTATTGTTATACTTTATTCTCAAATTATTAACGTTAACAACATCAGCATTGCCTATAGTGTGTATTAGCGTGTAGATTTCAATTTCTGTTCAGTCTAAACTTTAATTGTCATACCATTCGAAATTCATATTAAGAAATTCTTTTAACCCAAAAAGCAAATTATGCTCCCTTCGAACTGGTTGTCTTTAAAATACAAATCTTGTGTAATCCCAGGCTATCTGTAATCAGAAGCACGTTTAAAACTGGAATATATAAACACATAGTCCTTTCTGGATTGCAATCCGCCATCAAAAAGTATACATTTAATTATTCTAGCTGCTGTGAGAAAAGGCTATGTTGTTGAGGGATGAGGGTTCATTGAAGTTGCGAAAGAGCTCATAAATATCGGGCCTAAATATGGAAGCAGCACTGAGATCCCCTCCCACTCCCGTGTTGTTTTTTTGGCCGGAATCTGTCAGTTACAGTAAAAAAAAAAATACAGTACAGATCACAGCATGCCCACTTTAGTTGAATAAAAATCCAAAAAGTAGTTTTTTGTTATTTTATTGAACTGAAAGCCAGCTTAAACAATGCACAGTGTGCATTGCACACACATTACATTTCATGTAAATCATCCATGCTAACACACAAGTTTTCTATTTGATTTTTTTTTCATTTGAAAGTAGACATTTCACTCTAGATTTATTTTTCAAACACAGAGTTTTGAAGTTTCTCGCTCAAGTTCACATGACCGAGACGGCAGAAAGCGCATCCTGTTTGCTTGAATTATTTTACAGAAGCGCTGCGTTTCATTGTTATTCTGAGTGCACACCAATAAACGTGGAGTCTTTACAGATTCGAAAGATGTATTACTTTTATCTGTATGACCAAAAATTACGGAGTATTTTAAGAGCAAGTGAGCACACCGGCGCCTCCATCGGTCCTGCAGTGAGCGCGCTACTGTGCAGCTTCCACACACACTTCAATAGTGCACATTTCTGTAGGTTAAAGGGGTGGTTCACTGGGTTTTTTCTAATGAATAGATTTTTATGTGCACCTCTAGTTTTCTCTTCCTCTTCTCTAAAGCAGCGCAGCATGGCCTCGCCCCCTTTGCTGCCTTTTCCCGGGGGCGGTGTTTATCTGGGTTTGTGATGTCACGAACCCGGGAAGTAACTTGTTGTAGTCCCTTACCAGCCGTTTTTGTAGGCATTAAACTGCCAGAATTTTAAAAGACGATATCTCCGTTTGCATTGAACTTTCAGCTTCGTAACTTTGCAGATATCGTTTATGCTCAAACATCAACATTACACACTAACTAACGTTAAAAAAGTGAAATCGCAATGAAACACCCCTTTACCATTAGATTGAGCGGCCATGTAAAGTTGTTACTACATACATCTTTCAGATGAAAAGCCATATTTGAGTTCGATAAATGATAGGTGGGCGTTTGGATGTCCTGCCCGATGTACTGTATTACCACATAGACCAGCCCAAGAGCCCATCTGTCTGTCACAGACTGCGTACATCATTCACTTAACCAGCCACACCAAAGCAAACAGGAGGAGAGCATAAAGAGACAGGGCAACTAGAATTGAGTTCAAAATTAAAATATACAGTTTATATAAAACTGTATTTGTGTATAAAGTTGGGTATCATAGTGTTATTATGATTCCCGGTCCCGCCCACTCCTGCTGACATTTTTTTTCCAGTCCCATCCCAATTACGTAATTAATAGTGAATTTGTTTCCCATCCTGTGGGATTCCAGAAAAAATGTCAGCCTCTACTGGTCACTAACACATACAACAGTTATAACGAGGTGAATGGACGATGTAATGCGTGTCAGTTATAATGTGAAAGGACTGAGCAGCCCAATTAAAAGAAAGAAAATATTTAATCAGCTTAAAATATGCAATGCTCTATTGCACACCTTCAAGAGACCCACTTGTCTGATGGGGAAAATTTAAAACTGAGAATAGAATGGGTGGACTAAGTTTACAGTGCCTCATTTGCTAAGGGGAGGAAGAGAGGGGTTGCAATCATGTTTGCCAAGTCCGTCTTTTTTAATATGGAGCAGGTATACAATGATAAAGAGGGAAGATATATCATGGTAGTTGGAACAATTTCAGGCAAAAAAAAAAATGTATGCTCCTAACCAAGACCATCCACAGTTTTTCAAGAATGTTTTCTCTTTGTTGGTACAGAAAGGTGAGGGAATGTATTTAATTGGTGGAGACTTCAGTTGTGTATTAGACAGCAATGCTGATAGGTTAACAGCAGAAAGGGGGCCACAGGCAAAAAAAGTAAAAGTTGTTTTAGGAATAATGAGAGAACTAGGTTTGCCAAATGTTTGGCGACACTTGCATCCTAAAGAGAAGGATTTGACTTTTATGTCTCATGTGCATGGTAGTTATTCTAGAATAGACTTCTTCTGTACATCTAGAACAGATCTACAGTGTTAAAGAATGCCAAATAGATCCCATAACTATATCTGATCATGCGCCAGTTAGGTTAAAACTTCAATTAGGACAAGGTAAACAATTTAAATACTGGAGATTAAATGTGTCAGTAATAAATGATTGTAAAGCCAAAGAAGAAATAATTCAACAACTGAATGAATATTTTCATATTAATGATAATGCTTGGTTACTTCATCTATTTTGTGGGAGGGGGCCAAAGCAGTGACAAGAGGTAAAATAAATAACATCCAGGAATAAAAAAATAAGATTAGCTAAACAAAATGAGACAGAGAATGAAATCAGGAAACTAGAAATTGAACATAAATTAAAACAGGAAAGAAAGAAATTGGATGATTTACTTACATATTAAGCAGAGGGGGCGCTTAGATTTGTAAGCAGAAAATATTATGAGATGAGTAATAAAGCAAACAGGCGTTTAGCCTTTCAATTATGTAAGGCTCAAGCTAGCAGAGTTGTTCCAAAAATTAAGCACCCAGATACTTCAATAATGTTAACTCAACCAAAGGATATAGTTAATGCATTTGAAGATTATTATAAAAAATTATATGAAGGTCAGAATCTAATAAATAAGGAAGAAAAAGTTAAAAGTTTTTTTGCAACCAATAGATTTAAATAAATTAACAGAAGAAGAAGAAGCAAAGGAAATGATATCCCCTATTACGGAGGGATATAGTAAGATTAAAAAAGAACAAGTCACCAGGGGTAGACGGATTACCCGGGGAATTTTATAAGACATTTGTAAATGAATTGGCTCCTAATTTATGTAAGGTGTATAATTATGTACTACAGAATGAAGACCCACCATACTGTTGCGACTGTGACGCAATCATTACTGTACTTCATAAAACTGGAAAGGATCCTACGCAATGTACAGCTTATAGACCAATAAGCCTAGTATGTCAGGATATGAAAATTTTAACTTCAATATTAGCAAACAGAATTCAAAAACATATTAAAAAATGTATTAAATCAGATCAGACTGGATTTATTTATGGAAGATAAGCAGTAAACAATATAAGAAGAGCTTTAAATTTACAGCAGGTTGGAAAAGATCAATCAAAACACCCTCAATGCTTCTCAGCTTAGATGCTGAGAAAGCATTTGATAGGGTGGACTGGGTGTTTCTCTTAATTACATGGGATTTCATGACACTTTTGTCAAATGGTTAAAGGTTTTTTATGAAAACCCTAAATCTAGAGTTCGAGTTAATGGTCATTGCTCAGAGTTTTTTTATTTATAGGGGAACTCGTCAGGGAGATGTAATGTCTCCAGTCTTATTTGCACTTAGTAACGAGCCACTAGCGCCTGTAGCGGAATTAATAAGGCACAACCCAAGAATGCAGGGGATAAAGGATAAAGGAGGAAAATGTCATAAGATATTGTTATATACAGATGACGTATTATTATTAATTGAAAACCCTCTTACATCTCTTCCGGCCCCCTTAGAATGCCTCAGAGACTATGGATTAGTTTCTGAATACAAAGTAAATGCTGATAAATCTGAGGCAATGATGATATCAGGACATTGGCCCACTCGGTTAGACAATGAGGTATCTTTTCGATGGTCTAGTCAGGGTTTTAGATACTTGGGAGTCATCCTTACACCTATGGCATCATGTTTATACATGCTAACTACACACAGCTTTTTGATTCTAAAAAAAAAAAACTTGGCTAGATGGGAAGTACTACCTCTCTCTATGTTTGGTAGGATAGAAACTGTGAAAATGAACATATTGCCGAGACTTCTCTTCCTATTTCAATCTCTTCCAGTTTGGGTTCCGGTCTCAGCATTTAATAAATTAGAAAAATTGTTTGGGGGTGTTGAATCTTCCTAATATTAGATACTATTATTGGGCTGCTCAGCTTAGGGCTATCACTGCTTGGCTTGGTGTTGATAAGGAGGCAGAATGGGTCAGTATTGAACAGAATTCACTTCCTGGAGTTTCTTTGAAAGTTCTGCCATTCATGGATTTGCAAGCAAAAAAGAGAGTGAAGAAAAGAAATATATGGATACAGCATACTGCAAAAATTTGGTGCACAATACAAAAAACGTTTAGAGGAGCAATAGACTTATCGTGTGCAATACCCATTAAAGATAACCCAGATTTTCTTCCTTCTATATCGGATAGTGTCTTTAGTAGATGGGAAGAGAATGGTTTAAAGATAATAGATCAACTTTTTGATGGGGAGACCATACAATCTTTTTCTCAATTAATCTGATAGGTTTACATTGAGATCTAACGATTTCTTTAGATATTTACAACTACGACACTATATCACAAATCATAAACAATGGGGCATAATAAACAGATCTCCAACAAATGTCGAAAAATATTTTATTAATATTATTGAACATGATTTACCTACTAAAAATCATATAGCCCATATTTACAGAAAACTAATGCAAGACAAATCTGATGACTCATTTCATACCAAAAGAAATTGGAAATTAGAGTTAAATACTATAATAGAGGATGAGATGTGGACAAATATATGTGCCAGCTGTCATAAGGGTATTAGCAGTCAAATATGGAAGGAATTTGACTGGAAGCTGAAAATGAGATTCTTCAGAGTTCCATTGGTGGTTGCCAAATTTGATAGCTCTTCACAATTATCACAATGCTGGAGAGATTGTGGGAAGATGTGGGACTATGCCCATATATTTTGTATTGGCAGGGGGTTAAAAGGGAAATAAGTAAAGTTTTAGGATGTGACACAGGGACGGACTGGGAGTAAAAAACGCCCCCGGATTTTCTCCCAAATAGGCCCACCACAACTACAAACAGTCACTACTATCTCACAACATAACAGCAATCCTATCGCATTTATGGCAAATAACATCACAAAACCCATGGTGACCCTGCTGACAAAAACAATAGAAACCATTACAGAAATTCGAATGATTTCCACTACAAATACCATTACAAACATTACAAACCATCAACTTTTAACCATTAAAACCATTAAATAATGGTTTCCTGTAGTGTGTTTTGGGACATATTACATTAGGATTTAGTGGCTTTAACAAAAGCCATGAATAGAAGGTGACCAATTACCAGTAGAGACCAACAGGCACCATTACAGTTTCCATTAACTGGGACATTTCGAGACTCACACCCTGTGCTTGAAGTGGAAAAAAAAGAAGTGCCGGTACATAACCGAACTGTGGCTACGTTCACACTGTCAGTTTTTGGGATTGACAACCGCATTTCTTTACAGGTGTGAGTCTCGAAATGTCCCATTCACTCAGCAGCTTACAGTTGTGTTTAGAATACTGTCTGTATGAACCATAGACTGTAAAAAAAGATGGACGCGTCTCCTATTCCTTCCACTATAGAAAAGTGAAGCCAAAGCAACCCAGATATGGCCACAGCCATCTTGTGCTGATGATGTCATTTGGGTTTGGAGCCAGAGTCTGCGCAGTAGTGTCGTGAGGTGGAGCCGCGGTATCAAACTCCCACAGACCCAATCAACACGCCCCGTTTTTATAGCATCAAATTACTAGCTAAAATCAAACTTAATAATATTAGGGTCAATATCACTGTAGGGTGCCTTTTGGTGTCCTGTACATAAATAACTAATTTGTCATGATAACCTAACATAAAAATGACTATGAAAGGGTGTGTTATATTAGGCTAAGTTTTTATATTCATAACAAAAGCATTACTTGGCTCTTGTTTAGATACATTTTCTACATTTTTTTTTTGTTTTGTATAAGAGGATGCTTGTTATTTTGCATGTCCCATGCACTGCTCATTCAATTTGAATGAGAGTAGAATATAGTCAAATCATAAAATAAAAAAAAAAATGGTTCTCTATTAATATTTTGTTAAACTCAATTTGAGTTTATTGATCATTTGGTAATAAAAACAATATTTTTATTTAATAAAAAAGAAGAGTTTGTCCATTTCCCTTGAATGGTTGTCCACCCTGCAGTATTGGGGAATCCGCCCCTTTAAGAAAAGGCCATCCACTTTAGTGACATCAGGACAACAGATTTTTTATCTCTTCAGTGGCGGGAATTTCAACAGCTGAGGTGAGTAAGTTGGTGACTTTCCAATTGACAAATTTTCTTCGTATGAGTTTGCTTACTTGCTTTGCCAAAGCTTAACATGTCCACCCTGTCGCCATAAAATATGCCAGAAGTGATATAATATAATAATCTCTTAATTCAAAATAAAATATTAATGAATCCATCTCTGATAATCCCCGGTTGCTATGGTCACGCAGGTTGGTTTACGCATTAAACTCGTGGCCATGAGAAATATATGTCTTCCCTCATCATAAGTCATGGCCACGAGAAATGGATGTCGTTCCCTCAACATAGCATCTCGAGGCCACGACATAAGGATGTCATTACCTCGACAAAATGATCTCGTGGCCACGACATATTATCACGTTCCCACGAGTTATGTCGTGGCCACGACAAAACTAAGTGAACCGAACATGTCAGCTCCCGGGCACCCTATAAACCCTCCATTTTAGACACAGTGATTACTCTTGAGAAAGTATCATTCCCAGATAATGTGTAAACAATGACAACAATGAAAGTCTGATATTTTATATTTATATAAGGTATTTTTCTCTTAACATGTTAAGATCATCAAGTTCATGCTTTTGATATTGTTTTCATCTTATTTTTCAGTCTCCCTTACCTCAAAACGGTGTAATCGGACAGAGCTAATCACGCTCGTTATATGGATGCCAAGGGCGATATGACATTACTGATCTGTCCTTTCTACTGTAGTCTGTTGAGACACTATAAGCTGATCATGATTAACTTTGATGTCCACAGTCGAGACATCCAGGATATTCTCAGTACTTGCTTGTGAGACCAGCTGCCCAGTGCTGTTGCTGGAATCATTCACACTACCTAGGTAAGACTAACTTATTTTTTTATTCATGTTTTAGGGGAACGAGAAAAAGTTTTAAAAATGCTCTGTTCTAATAGCCTTGGTCAAAATAGCTAGAAGTCACATAAAGTCTTGACTTGATTTTATTTTCCTTTTTTAAAGTGCTTTGTGCTCTCATATTTATTTATTGATGCCATTGTACAAAAGTATATATATTTGGTTGATTAATTAAGGCATCTTTACATAGACAAGTTAAGGCTGTTCTGTGCCTGCTCAAAATTCGGTGTAGACAATGCTGCATAAAAACCAGGCTTAATTATGCCTGCTCTGATCCACCTCAGCACCTAGTATTAAATCATACAGTTGTAATTGCTGTGTAAATGCAACTATGCCACCTCTGAGCAGCATTAAACAGTCTGTGAAGACACTTAATGCATCTTTACACAGCTGAGTTAAGGCTGCTCTGTGCCTGCTCAAAATTCTGGGTAAAGATGTAATGCCACATGAAAGCCTGATTAAATAATGCCAGCCCACCTGACCAGCCACTAGCACCAAGCTGTATGGTTATCACAGCTCTGTAAATGCCACCTCTGAGCAGCATTAAACAGTCTGTGTAAAGAGACACCTGATAGCAGTTTTAAACTGCAAAGGTGGCATAGAGGCGCTTCTAAAGTGGCATTTAAGTGTCTTTACACAGACTGTTTAATGCTGCTCAGAGATGGCATAAATGCATTTACACAGCAATTACAATTGTATACTAGGGGCTGAAGTGGGACTGAGCAGGCATAATTTAGTCTGGCTTTTATGCGCATTTACACTGAATTTTGAGCAGGCACAGAGCAGCCTTATCTCGACTGTGTAAAGACATCTTTAGATCTACTTCAGAAGAGCTTCTCTGCCACCTTTGCAGTGTGAATTTGGCAGAATTATACTATTTGATGTAAGGGGTTTTGCCTTTTAGCAATCACATTATCTAAAAGAAAAAAATGGAGCATTGGATGCATTTATCAGTTCAATGTCTTGATAAACTATTGAACTAAGCAATCATGAGTTAAACCTTTGTAATGCCTTTGTCATCAGAGTAGAGTTTATTGGAGGCTCATGTAAGCATATTAATGACTGTTTCCTGAAGGAGAGGACTCAATCCTGCTGAGCCAGCAGATGAAGAAGCTTAGAGCAGACTGTCTGTCTGCTTTCTTTAAGCCTATCCTTCCTTTTGTTCACACCTAGTTCATATATTTTCATTTATTAAAAAAAAAATAAATAAATAACATTTTGTACATTGAAGTGCTTCTAATTACACGTAAACAGTGATTCTGTACAAGTATTTTCATTATTTAATACTACAGAGAAATATATGACAATCTCTTCTCTTTGGCACGTTTTGGATCCAGCTTCACCTCACTAGCGTAAAGTAGTGCCATTTTCTCAATCATGCTGAGTGGAGTCAGAAGCGCTCCTGTTGAAGAAGGCAGAGGCACCTCAGGGCCGACGCAAGATGATGCCAGGACCAGACCAGCCACAATCAACAATTTAAATCCCAAATCCAGCTGTGTTGTGTTGTGTAAACCTGGAGATGGAGTGCGCCATCAGTTGTATATTCCTACAGTGGGTAGATTTTATCAACACACCCTCATGTTGAAACATCACTTTTATTTGTTGTCATAATTTTGACTCATTCTTTAGAAGAAATTCTGTCATCATTTACCCTCATGCAGTTCCAAACCAGTATGCCTTTTCTTCTGTGAAACAAGATATTTCTCAGTAAAATCTTTATCGTCCATACAATGTCAATGGGATCCAATTTCGTTTTCAAACTATTTTCACTTAAGAAAGTCACACAGGTTTTGAATGTAAATGAGGACAGAGGTTTGATTTTTGGTTGAACTGTCCCATTAAGTCATTCAAAACCTGTTTTCATTCTTTTGTGCAGCTCTAAAGGAAATATAAACTGCTTATATAAAATATAAAGGAGTCCATATGACTTAAGTCTTCTGAAGTCATACAATAATTTTGTATAATGAAATTTAAGACCCTAACAACTGATAATCACTGTAAAGTCCTGTTCATAGGAAGGACGAAAACTATAATGATAACTATAACCGTTTAATAATAATTTTAATTGCATGAGAATATCGACACCACAGCGATAACAATAACACAGAGGAACAATATTGTTAGAATCACTTTCAGAAATTTTTTTTACAGTTAATAAATGATAAAACATTGACAGTCACAATCCACCCAAATTTAAAGAGCACAAGCATTTAAAGCAGAGGATGACAAAACTGCAGTCTGTGCTTAAAATAAACAGAATGCTGGTGTGGACACTAACATATGTGTCATTATGCCCAATGTATACTTTAGATTTTGCTACAGCATAAAAAATAAAAAGGTAATTGTGACTTATCTCTCAAATCTGACTATTCTTCTCAGCAAGTTGATATCTCGCAATTGTGAGTAAACATCTTGCAATTTTGAGTTTATATCTCACAATATAATTCTGTAAAAAAAAGTCAGAATTGTGAGATAAAAAGTCGCAATTGATGTTAGTATGCATGTCATGGTTTAATCATCTTCCATGCTTTGCAGAATTTAAACGTTATAATATTCCTTGTGTCATTCAAGCTAATTAAAGGGGTCATATGATGCTGCTAAAAAGAACATTATTTTGTGTATTTGGTGTAATGAAATGTGTTTATGCAGTTTAAGGTTCAAAAAACACAATATTTTCCACATACTGTACATTATTGTTTCTCCTCTATGCCCCGCCTTTCTGAAATGCGTCGATTTTTACAAAGCTAATAGTTCTAAAAAAGCGAGGTGTGCTGTGATTGGCCAGCTATTCAGTGCGTTGTGATTGGCCGAATACCTCAAGCGTGTGACGGAAATGTTACGCCCCTTACCATATTGTGATGATGCCCTGTCAGGCCGGAGCGATGAAACCCATTATAAACGAAACATTCGTTGCATCCAGTGGGGACATAATTATGGATTATAATGACTTATACTGTCTTTTTATGCGTTGCGTTGCATCGCGCCGCGTAAACATAAAACCATGTCTGCATTTGTGATCGGAGAAATGACAAACAACAAGCCCTACTCTACACTGCCCAAAAAATTATATAAATATATAATATATAAAAACTCTTTAAATATAAAAAAGTACTTACAGTCTTTGAGTCAGAACAGCCGGCATTGTAGTCTACTCTCCCAGGATCAGGAAACGGTCCTCCATAAAATGTGCTGCACACATCTGAATATTTGGGTTGAAGTGTTCTGGAACAGTGTTGTAAATACAACTTAACCACTGATTTCTAGTCGTGTCCATTTTTGGAAGGCCAAACAAAGTAGTTTCACTTTCACAATGAAACACAGCGTCACACACGGTGGCCTAGAGTGAGCAGAGGCTGGGAGATAAAGTGAGGAATGGCCGGAGGGCTAGAGTGAGCAGAGGCGGTGGATTCGACTCCGCTTCGTCCATGGTGATTCGCTTTCACAACGAATCACACAGTGCCTTCACGACATGGCGTATTGTTGTTGAACAACAACAATACTACAGCGAGAATAAAAGTTACGCCTTCTTTCTTTGCGTGAACATTTGGGCGGCGTTATGCAAATCTTCCCACATAGTGACGTAGATATGTGGTGGCATGTTAGAACGAGCCGTTTTAGGTAGGCGTGGCTGACTCTTAACTTTTATAAAGAATATCTCTTTGGATTTGAGACTTTAGACTTTGCAACTTTACAGATCTTCTTTATGCACCAAGAGCTTGTAACACTCCAAAGAGAAATGACAAATTTAAATTGCATCATATGACCCCTTTAACAAGGTTTCTAAGGCTTGACTGAACCTTGAATCCTCTAAAACTCCAGTGCAATGGTAAAAGTTGCTACAGCGACATCTACCTTATATGGTTTTGCTAAGAAATACAAAAAATCGAAAAATGTTGACATTTATGTCATCATCTCTATGTTCTATTCCAGATTCTCCCTCAAAGCGATAATCGCCCCGATTCAACAGGTGGCAACTCCCTTCCTTTGCCGGACATTATGCCAAACCAGGCCTCCAAACCAAGCGTGTCCATTCGGCGCCACAAGGGCACCACGGATTTGCCCTACAGCCCTCAGCGTGGGTACATGCGTGGCCAGAGACCCAGTATCTGTGCCCCCACTGAGGCTGAGCTGGCGCTGATGCGGCGCTGCTCTTTACGTGAGCCGAACTTTCGTCCATGTTGCCGCCATGCTCTTAGCGTTCCCAAAATGGCAAGTCCAAGCACAAGCCCTCTGTGCAGCACCCCATCTCGCAGTGCTCTCTGCACACCTGTACGGGACATAGACTGCAGTCCTAAAGCACGCAACAAGCTAATAGAGAGCGAGAATGCGCAGACTCCTACTTGTCCACCGGAGCTTCGCGAACAATGCCGTTACATCTCCAAAGATGGGAAGTGTAGGGTAGACTTGGCACATATGGCTGAGAGAGAACGATTCCTGGCTGACATCTTCACGTCTTTTGTAGATCTTCAGTATAGATGGTTTCTTTTCGTGTTTATGATGTGCTACGCAGTCACCTGGTTTATTTTCGCAGGGCTTTATTCGCTAAATGCATTCTTGCGTGGAGATCTTGAAGTTCCTGGTGACGCTGATGTGTGCTACACCAATATAGATGGCTTTGTGTCAGCATTGCTCTTCTCAGTAGAAACACAGAGGACTATTGGCTACGGCGCTCGCACAGTTTCGCCACGCTGCTACGAAGGTGTGCTTTTGGTCATGGCGCAGTGCATTGTGGGCTCCATGATTGATGCCCTTATGGTGGGCTGCATGTTCGTCAAAATTTCGCGTCCCAAGAAGCGCGCAGAAACACTTCTTTTCAGCCATACTTGTGTTGTGGCCTACCGTGATGATCGTCTTTGCCTTATGTTCCGTCTCGGCGATCTGCGTGAGAGCCACATGGTGGATGCCAAAGTACACGCTAAACTCATCAAGTCACGGCAGACGTCAGAGGGGGAATTTCTCCCGCTAGAGCAGTCTGAGATCGACCTGGGCTACGAGAGTGGCTCTGACCGTCTGTTCCTGGTGGAACCGCAGGTCATTCAACACACCATCGATTCCAGCAGTCCTTTCTGGGAGTTTGGGCCGGAGCAGCTGCGGAAGCAACAGTTTGAGATTATTGTCATCTTGGAGGGCATTGTGGAAGCAACAGGTGAGCTCACAATCATAGCCCACTTTACCTGTTGACCCAAATGTCTTGCCATGACAAGCAAATATGGCATTTTAAAGAACTATGAATGCAAGAATACAAGAAACATTTTTATTAGTTGGTATATTTTATTCACTTCCCCACTGGGCTGTTGAGAAGTGGGGAGTTTGAAACCAAACAAAGCATATATGTAAAATAAATTAAGCTGAAAAATCATTTGCCACCAGTGAATCTTACAAAAACCTGCCAAGAACTTATTTGAGTAGTATTTGTTGTACTATAAATAGCAGTATACATAGACATATTATTATTTAAGTGTTATGTGTAAACTCTTATAGTATTCATTAATATTTAAATGTACCTTTATTTTTATATTTTTCAGTAAAATTTTTATATATTTTTAATTAAGCTTTAATGAATTTTTTTTACATCAACTTTATTTTTGTTAGTTTCTAAGGCATCATTTCTAATTTCATGCAATACTTATATTTTATTTCAGATTGATTTCAGTTACAGAATTTAAATTTGTAGTTTTATCCAACAACACTGATTACAGCAATGAAAACTAACTAACGAAATAACTAAAAGTCAAAAGTAATGAGAATTTGGGCAGATATGTGTGCTGAATTATCATGAGAGTGATGTGAAACAATGGTAAAAATAAACTCTTAACAAAAAAATTAAATTAAATTAAATTAAAACTACAGAAGTGGAGAAACCACGCCAGTTTAAGACCAATACGATTTGTTACAGAATAGCGCCATCTTGTGGACATAGTGTTTTCTCAGCTCGTTTGGCAACTTTATTTTGACAGGAATGATGTGCCAGGCGAAGACTTCCTACATCGAGACGGAGATTGAGTGGGGAGCCCGGTTTGAGCCGTGCATGACACTGGAGAAAGGGGCGTTTCGAGTCGACCTGAGACGCTTCCACAGCGAGACATATCCAGCTGCAGACCCGCAGCTTCTATGTCTGCGGTTCTGAAACTGCTGGTGCTGCGGGTCTGCAGCTGGATAATATTGTCCACAGCACATATCCCGTGCCTCTTCCGCCGTGCAGCGCGCAGGAACAGCATCACCTGCAGACCCTCCAAGTGGGACTGGAGCTCCAGGAATCTCTCAAAGACGGTGCTAACTGGAAATTGGGTGGAGACGACCAAGAAGACGACATTGTGAAACCACCAGGAGCATGTACTTTCACTATCCACAACATCCAGGAGGAGCGAGTGTCGGAAGTCAACGAATGCGAATCTCTTTAGTTGTTGTGAGTGCGATACTGACGGTGCCCTTTCTCAGCGGT